ATGCGTTAAGGAAGAGAAGGTCCTTTTCTTGTTTGTGAATGGTACCCAAATTTTCTTGTGGCTGTATACTAAAGAGTATTTTAAAAGTTTAAATGTTAAGATGTCACCCTTCTTGAATCTTTTCTTAATCTTTCTGGTCACAAATATTAAATGGATTGACGAAGATCCTGGATAGTGTGCTTGGCTCAAGCTGCACTTTATAGATGTTAATAAACTAATTGCTAAAAAAGCCCACAGAAACAAACCTATTCCCAATGAAAATATACTATGAGTACCAGAGCAAGAGAAGCAAAGTTACTCTTGTTCTAAGGAGTACTACTTAGTGAATAATCTTCATTTAGGAGAGTATGTAAATGAAAGTTCTGTTGTAATCTGTGAAGGTGAAGAGGTTTTTAAGACAGTGAACTCTTACTGAAATTTATATTTCTGCTCTTTAAGTATTTTAGTTTCAAAACCACATGGGTATATGGAAAAAGAAATCATTAGCTGTAACTCATTGACTCTGTTCAAGCAGCTGCAAGCTTTTAAAAATTAGTAATTTTCATAATGAAATATAAAGTCTGGGTTGTAAGCTCTAGTATTCATTCAGTGCAAAATTTCAGTTGAAGCTGACATGCGGCTTTGCAGGGTAGAGGTTGAGCAAGCACCCCCAGAATTAGCTCACTGCTATCAATTAAATTTGTGGTCTTTAAACCTACAAATTATTCAATCTTTGTAAAAGTGTCATTATGATGTAAATATACCAAACCTCATCCTAAATTGATTTCCTTTCCCCTTTTAATATAGACTCCACAACTAGGAGAAATGCTAACAGATCTCGGAATTTAATGAGAGCATTGACATAGTGGAAGTTATTCTTTTAAGGTTATAAAATGCAAACATGCCAATGGTCTTTTCAAGAGCAAAAGGATGAAGGTGCTTAAAAGCACTGCCAGATGTACTGAGATGCAAAATCCAGCGGCTCTTGTTAAAAACTAAAATACCCCCCAAAATATTTGCATTACTTTCCATGAACTAGAGTGGAAATGCAAAAGGAAATAGAAAAAAATCTGCTACATATGATTTTCCACGTGTTATGCTTGTAAGAATAGAAAATTGAAGTAGATTTTATGCTCTTTAAAATTGCTGAATCACAGTTTTTCCACTCGGCCCAGGGAGTCTCAGATCAGCAGGGGTTTCCTCAGACTGCTGATGCAAACGCTGTGCTCTAAGAATACGGCCTGATAGCAGTTTGCCCGTATCGGTAGAGAATCTCCCTACTGTAATGCCGGTATGAATGAATACAGCCTGTAAAACTGATGATGGAGGCTTAAATGCCCTTTCTAAGGTTTAACCTTGTGAAAAGAGCAGTCAGAGAATCTATTGAGGTAGATTGTTTATTTTGTACCACTGTACTCAGATATACCACTGAATTCCCTCTCTAACTTAAGTATGGGGAAATTGGGTGCCAAGAATTACAAATGCTAGCAGGCAAAGCAAAGCCGATTTTCATTGTTCAAAATCTCTAATTTTGACTCTGCAAGGAACCCTGATGTCTCACACTAGTTACAACTATCCTGTTGTGTTTTCCTTTGTAGATATATTTTCCTGCTTTTAACTTGAGGAATTCTGGCAACTGGGTAGAAGTTGCTGCTGTCAATGGGCTGTTATAAATCTAAAAAGTCAAAATGGTTCCATAAAGTGTGTGCAGACAATCTGCTTCGAGTCTCATGCAGATATATTTATTTCTGTGTGCAGAATCTCAGAATGTGGTAGCCTTGCTGATACCTCTAATAAGGAAAATCAACACTGCTGTATAAATATTAACCATGGTACATAAAAACTCTCAAGAGAACTTGCTGCTGGTTAAAAATCATGCTGCTGATCTGTAGAGCTCGAATGGCTCCACTGGAGAACTCATTTAGAATCCTTGTGTTGGTTCTTCCCCCTTGTTTTCTTGGCCCTATGTAAACATAGGTTATGTCTGGTGGTGTAAGAAGAGACTTGGTGCACTTGTTCTTCACCCTTATGTTGGTAAGAATATCAGTAGGGTTATAGTAATATCAACCCACAGTTGAATATTCGTGACTTCCTGAATGAGGCTAGGAATTGTGATGATTTGCGATCTTTCTAAGAGAGATATGAAGGTCTGGTTTTGGACTGGTCAGTCAAAAAAGCTTTAAAATAAATAATTTCAATATATTGTGATGTTCTCCCTTTTCTTTAAATTCAGGTATATGGTTGATTTACTCCCCGAGAGAAGGGTAAAATTCAGCAAAGAAAAAAAGCCTGATTTTGTTTCTTTGTGATTCACATTGAAAGCCTTGGGAAGAAATAATTGAAAGTAGTACTACACAAGTTTTCTTATACTAAACTAGTGTTCTTATAGGGTTTTTTCCTACTTTTTGAACTTATATTATTAGTGTTTTAATCTTTCCTGTTCAGCCTTAATTGACTATAAATTAAGTGAAATGCTATGTCACACAATTGTGCTGGAGTTTCAAGAGAGTGCTGAATTTTTAGATTCATCATCTGGCCCTTTTTTAATTATATAATTTCATTATGTGTCTGCTTCTCGCTCATCCCAGAAAGAAGATTTTGGAGGCTGGAAATCTAAGGGGATTATGACACTAGGGGTACTAAGATAAACCTAATTTATAGACTTGTAAACAATTTGAATAAAAAGAATTTTCTTTAAATGCCTTTTTAAATTGATTGGCCTATCGCTTAAAGATTTGTGTGTTGGTGATTGAAGATTTTTCTTTTCCAGTTATATATTCAGTGATTTCTCCAAGAGATAAAGACATGCCCGTGCATAGTTGACCTTTCTAAGAAGAAGCAGAAAAATATATTTTGTGTTTAGGGGAAAAGAAGCAGCATTTAAACTGTCTCTGTGCATCTTGACAAAATAAGTAAGGTAAATCCCACGATTTACTGTGTTATGTAAATCCCTACCTTAAGGCTTTACATATATAGTTAATTTGATTTTTTTTTTTAATCTACTCCAGCTGAAGTATATATGTAGTTAGAAAATTATATGTAGATAAATTGATGTATAGATAAAACATTACCATGACAAATAGGCCAAAGTTGCTTCTGATACGGAGAATTACCTCATATGTCTGGATGAATTTGGCAGTGTTATATGGCTACAAGTTGAAACCAAATAATCGCTTTAAGTAGAGAAAAAAATTGAATCAATGGTATGAATGCACTAGCCTTTTTCTTCTTTTCTTTTGTCTTTTAAGGAGTGTATAGACTTTGGGATAAAACTGTGAATTTATTTGCAGTAACTATTAGACTCTAAAATACACATTCATCTTTCAAGAGGGGAATGAACTCTCATCTATTGTTATATTTTCTTGTGTATCTTTAATTTCAGCCTTTGTGATCAGATGATGATGTTCGAGGTAGCTTCTGGCCAACTGATACTGTCCATTACTTGCAGAACAAATTTGAAAAGGTCCCTTTATTGTTAATGAATGGTCACTCTTGGGTGAAGACAGATGACATTTAGGCTTTGGTATTTTTGGTTTAGTGCAAGGGACAGTTTCATAGCATTACTAAATAACACTGAAGAATATGCGTGAAGAAGCATTAAGAAATGTCACACTTTATCTATGAGTGTTCACTGTTTTCTGCTTGGTTTGTTCATGGAATATTCACTGTACAAAGCCCGGTGGTCATGAATTTTCATTGTCTTGTAACTTGCACAGTTAACATGTACAGAGTTAATATCAAACTGACTTTGAGCCACAGGAACAGTACTGTGTACATGTATGTGTCTGTTATGGCTGTAATTGCAACTGCACTTAACATTTGTTTGCAATAATGGTGGAAGCTCATTCATGAAACTGCTATCCGTCTAGGTCAGATTTTTACATTTTAGCTGGTTTTGATGCTTCTGCAATGCAGAATGTTGTAATGAAGAAACACAGCTCACAGGAAAGTACAATGCTAAGTATCTGGTTGCAGTCTCACATTTTTATTTGAAATGAGTAGCTATTCGTCAGAGCAGTTCCCTTTCCATTGCTTCTGCTGCTCTTCCTTCCCTCCTCCTTGTTGCATTGTGCCATCCTTGGAATTTGTATGGATAAACTGGTTCAGTTCACGAGAACAGCAGAGAAATAATTCCACAATACACAAATCTTGCTGGCCTACTGTTTACTGTGGTGCTGCTTGCTGCGGAACCAGACTGATGTCAAAGGTGTGACAAAGTGGATGGAATTTTGTGTGTAGGAAATTTTGGTACAGTTAGAGCTGGGTTTGAGGAAAAGGATTTGTGGGGATCCTGGTTGAACATGACCTTCCCCTTCTGGCATTATTTGGCTATTGAATCAATTCAACTGAAACACCTTGTTTTGATCTATTGCTTTACTTCGTATGCAAGACCTGTGATGGTGCCCATGCATGCTTAATTAAGGTTAAAATAAGGTTTTTAAGACATCAAAGTTTTTTACTGTGGTGTATATCTCATTGCATCTTAAATGTCAGGTTTATCACAATATGTTGTGAATACTTGATACATGCTGCCTGTCATAGTTGCTCATCAGGAACTAAGTCACTTGCTGAAACAGCTGACTTGGGTTAACAAGTGTTAATACAGAGACACTTAAAGGGGATGTATAGGCATCTATACATAAACCACAGTCTCTAAGTGTAAGTAAAGAGTGATCTCTTCAGGCTTAATTTCTAAGAAGCAAAGAACACCTCAAAAACTTGGCTTACATTTGCGCCAATAGTATTGTTATATTTTGAGAAGCCCAAATCAAAGAATAGGTGGTCTATGTGATGGCATTACAGATTCATCGAGGAAGTAATATTTTGCTTTCTTTTTCTTATCTGCTAAATGATATGAGGCACATGAAATCTCAAAATGAAAGATAAACTTGTAGAACTTCTGTCTAATTAAGTTTTTAGTGAGATATGCCCTCAGAAAACAATACATATTTGTTTGAATGTGTTTTTAGATTGCATCCACAATGTTGGTATTCTCAAAACATCTGTTTGTTTCTCAACAGGTATAAAAAGTAAAAATGAGTGAACTGGACCATGGAGCATTCTTTACAATTCATAGGATTAATGATGCAGGTATGTATGCTACCATGTTCAAATTTAATTGTTTTATCACAATCTAGAATAAAAGTACTTATGAAATACTCTGTGCAATTAATAGCTGCCTATGTAAGCTGCTATAGCATTCTGATCATACAGTCCTAGAACAGTTTGGGTTGGAAGGGACCTCGAAGCCCCCCCAGTCCCCCCCCCGCCCCGGGCAGGGCCCCCTTCCCCCAGCCCAGGGGGCTCCCAGCCCCGTCCAACCTGGCCTTGAACCCTTCCAGGGAGGGGGCACCCACAGCTGCTCTGGGCAACCTGTTCCACTGTTTCACCACCCACATTGTAAAAAATGTCTTCCTTATACCCAGTCTAAATTCTGGCCTCTTTCAGTTTAAAACTATTGTTCCTTGTCCTGTCACTGCAGGCCTTGGTAAAAAGCGTCTCTCCATCTTTATGATCCCCCTTTATACACTGAAAAGCCACAGTCAGGTCTCTCTGGAGCCTTCTCTTCTCCAGGCTGAGCAAGCCCAACTGTCTCAGTATGTCTTCACAGGAGAAGGGTTCCAGCCCCTTGACCATCTCCATGTCCTTCTCTGGATCTGCTTTAACAGGTCTGTGTTTTTCTTGGAGAGAGCTGGATGCAGTGTTCCAGGGAGGGTCTGACCGAGTGCAGTAGTGGGGGAGAATCCCCTCCTGCGACCTGCTGGTCATGCTTCTTTTCACCCAGCCCAGGATACCACCGTCTTTCTGGGCTGTGAGTGCATTGCCAGTTCGTGTCCACCAAGATTCCCAAGTCCTCCTCTGCAGGGTAGCTCTCAATCTGTTCAGCACCTAGTCTGTACTCACATGGGGACTGTCCTGGTGGTTGACCTGCAAAAATCTTTCCACAGTGGAGCATCGTCTGGAGCCCTGTTGTCAAACTCTGTAGGCATGTGGCAAATGAAAACCCTTAGGGGAGACCTGAAGGAGGATCACGAGATAGCTTTGCAGGATTTACCTTGCTGTTTTAGGTGGGACCCCTCTGTAAAGCCATATGTCAGGCATATCACTTCCAGACAGCTTCACTATGCTTTTGATAGTGAACGGAAAAAGTCTTTCTACTAATATCTAATGGCAAGTTTCACTACCAAAAGAACCTAAAAAAGAGGTTGGAAAGAAAAGGCCCATTCCTTATCCCTATAAGCTTCCTAGTTTATAAAAAGTTACTGAGGATCTGTGCACTATAGCTTTACAGTACTGGAGCAAATGTTTAAGTATTTTCACTTACCATTATAATTGTATCTCAGACTTTAGCAAATATTTGTTATAGAAAATTGTGAAAAGTCATTTTACAATCTAAAAGTTTAATGTCTTATATTTTTATTCATATGTATATATATTTGTGGGAGTATACATACATATAAAAATATATAAAATTTATTTTCTTTGTAAACTATAAGACACATCCAATACATTACCTACTAAATGCAGAGTTTGCACCCTGGATGTGAAGACCCTGATTTTTTGAATTAATCTCACATGGATAGAGACCCAACTGACTTCTGAAAATTCTTCAGAGCAAAGTCCTCAGTAGAAGAAACAGTTAAAGATTAGGAGCGGAGATCCATCAGGTTCAGATATACAGGCTAAAGGAAAGAGCATATTGAAAGCAAAGATAAAATTAAATTATTTGGCGTTAGACGTTTGGAAATTGAACCCATCTTTCACTCCTCATTCTTTTCTGAGATGTGACAGACATTATTAAGTTGGTGAAGATAAGTTACCTGAGGAAGTACCTCATGTACCTACTTTCTCGTACATTTGTTCTATATGTAGCTATGTATATTTTCATGTTATATATGTATATTATATTGAACTCTATGTGTATAGAAAATATCAGATTATGTTGCTAAATTAAATTTAGGACTTTCAGAGGCAACTCTAAAGCTTCCAAACATTGCCACAAGCTTTTTTTGTTTAGAAAGCTGACATAGTAACAACTTTTTTTACCTAGATACCACCAAGTTTAACCTTGTTAAGTAAATCAATTCTCTCTGCTCATTCACTGTTCTCTGATACATCTTTCTGTGGTTAGAACAGATTAAGACTACCCATCCAAAGAAAAACAGTGCCTCTCCTTGTTATTTTATAGCATTCCTTGTTCTTTCCATCTCTTCATTCAGTGGGACGGTTCATTCTCCCTTCCTAGTTGTTTTCTGCACTGTATTCATTATTGCTTCCTGTACATCAGTACACACTTTTACGTCTTTCGTCCTTTTTTTTCCATCTGTTTTGTTGTCAACCCTCTTATTTTATCTTGTGAGAAAGAAAGGGTGCAAAAATGCTTGCATGGATTTGATTTTTGATCACATCTCTTATCCTTACTACACTACATTGAAGAACAAAGGTGGCATAGAGAAATCAGGGTTTCAAAAGCCAGTGGTGAGCAAGAGCTGTCAAATAGGGACAGTAAACTGTAATTTCATTAAGTAGTTTAAGGAAATGACAAGGCTGACATAGACCAAAGAAAACTGGCCAACATAATGCAGTTTTTAGTGCCATACCCAGGTAGAGTTCCTACCACAGTTCAGAACAAGTGGTGTGAGAGATCCACGCTAGTGAAATAATTTAGGAACTCCTTCTGGCCAGGAGTCATAAGTTAGATTGGCAAGGCTGAAAGCTGACTGTAGCATGAGGACTCTGCGTACACTGGCATGCGTGTAGGATGCATGTAGAACACTTCCCAAACCATTGACAATAAGCACTCGCAGAGGTCTTTGCAGCAGGTGCTGCAGGGAGAGATTTAGATCTTTATCTCCTCTGGAAGACGACAGTGTCCCATCTTTGTTCTGCCACTTACCTTTATCGTTGTGTGCTACCTTGGGATTAACTGGGGGGGTCTGATGCTGAAACATCTCGCTGTCATGCTTTTCAATGATCGTGAGATTCACAAGGACAATACCAAGGAGTTGTACTTAGTGACTTCTGGCGGTAGTTAACATCATTTAGTAGTACTAGTAACTGTTACTGATTCTTTTCTAATGAATATGACAGGAGACATCTGCTAACTTATCTCCCAGGCACGTGCCGGCAGGGAACCTGAATTAGAAATGTTATGGAATGGCTCTGAGGCTCCTGCCATGCCTTGCTGCTCACGTGTGGGGGCACTGATGTTACTGCCCAAAATTATTCCTACCAGACCAGAAGTGGTTGCCGGCCTTTGGGAGCAGGAATGGAGGTGTAACAGGCTTAGGAAGAACTGAATGAGTGGCTTTTCAGGGAGGTTGGTGACAGAACTTTTACTACTTTGAAAGTGGAATGATGTTCCGTGATCTCTGTTGGAAAATACTATAAGCAATCTCAAAAAGAAGGGGAAAAAATTTTCACATAAAATCTTGCAGATTTAGGGATAAGAACTTTAAATTAGGATTGATGGGAATGAAAGCCCACAGGTGAACAAAGCTACCTAAAGGCCTAAAAGCTGGGAGAAAGGAGATTATTCGTACTAAGCTCATGGGAGGGATGAAATGGAAGAAATTAGTGGATCAAACTGCTGAATGTTAAGGTACATAGAGAATAAAAAAGCAGTCATAATACAAGATCAAAGCTATAACCTGGTTAGCATAACATTGATTTGGTGGAATAATTTTCATGTTGAGAAGATTAGTGGCGAAGAAAGCAGGACTGACAAGCAGGAGGAGAGGAGGAAGCCTTCCTCTCTGTAGGTGGTGTATCCTCTCAAGTTCAGAGAGTGGAAACCGCCTGTGGAAACTGTAGATGATGACTAGAGGGGAAGAAAGATGCAGTTCTGTTCTGACGGGAGTCTGGTGCACGCCAATAAGCCAGGAAAACCTGTCGACTGATACTGGGCAGCTATGTATCTGAGGTTACCTTGAGCGGACTTTTCTCTTTGGCTGTTGACAAATCTTGTTCAGACAGGACTTGCAGCCGTCGTTTTCTGGATTCATTCTGATACGGCTGCTGTTTTTTTGTCCGTGGCTCACCCAGTTTTAAGTGTATACATGTTACACTCTGGATTAAAGTGACCATAAAATGGTGAAAGTTATCATCCTTATGAAGTTGGCAAGGGGCAAGAGAAAGAAAGGTGGTGGATTTTAGGAACATGAACGTAAGCTCAAAGGACCTCATAGTAAACTTGAGGTAACTGTTGTTTGGGGAATATGGCAATCCCTTGGTGAAACTTCTTAAAGGGATCACTGTAAATTATCTTCACTGTGGTGAAAGACCATTGTGGTTAAATCTTTATTGACTTCAAATGCAGCAAAAATACTTCCCCTGAGATTTTTTGGACAACAGTCTTTCAATACTGTCCCAGTCTTTCAAATGCTGATGACAGGACTGCAGAAAATGAATGTTATGATCCATACTGCATGCAACAGGAACCAAGTATGATGTTTTCCTTGCAATTTTGTCCCTTTCTCTTTCTTTAAAGCAGTATGTTGTTTTCCAATGAGCCTACAGAAGTTTAATAGAGAAATTATGCTGTTCTTATGGCTGGAGATTCGATGGGAAATGTAACTACATCTCATTCTGTTTACCTATAATTAGTAGCTTATATCCCTTTTAGAAAAAAACCTGGTCGTATTGCTGAATCCATAGATTACAATAAATATTTTCCAATTAGTGAAATAATAATGTGTATACAGAACATACTAAAATTCCAGTAAACCCAGTTTAAAGTGAATTATTAAATTCACATATAAGAAGACCTTTTTAAATAAATTCTTTGTAAACAGACAAATGGTTAATGTTTCTTATATAATTTCTGCAATCTTAGGTTTGTTTCAAATTCTCATTCAACAACTGACATTCTCTTTGTTATAGAAACTTTTAGTGTTTAAAATATACTGTTTCTAATGTCTATCTATAACACTTTATGACTCGTGCTTAAAATATTTCTCCAGAATTTGAAATGACTGTGTTTTATGTGATAACTAGAAAATCTGGTGGTTCCTATGAGAAATGGTCTTTGCAGCCAGAAGTATAAACCTGTTGACTACAAACATCTATATGAACTTGCTGCAGTAGAAAAAATGGCATCTGCAAAAATTCAATTAAAGGTATGATTTTTATATTATTCAGAATGTGAAAGATTTAAAAATTTTATGATCATATTCCTTTTCACTGCCCCAAGGAATGTGAGAATGAATAGGGATAATAAATTGCTATAACAGCGTTCATCAAAAGAGGGCAAAAGATGGGAGTTTATTACAGTTAGTGTTATTGTGATTGGGACACTTTAATGTCAAAGTGTGGAATTTCTTTGAATTGGAGGTGCAAAATATACGTGGATTTTGCTTCCCAAAAAGACAGGAAAATCTTCTGTGTGAGTGCTTTGAGGAAATTAATCCAGACTCATTACATAAACTACTCAAAATACTAGGGATAATGAAGAATTTACGGGAATAAATGGGAAGGGGAAGTTGATCCAGACAGAAAAAAACAAAACAAAACAAAAACAACCAATGCAAGCCAAGAAGATATGAAGTGAGGATTTCCAAAAGCCAAGATGAAGTAGATCTTGGAAAGTGAATTTAAAGGGTTTTATAGCCATAAAGTGTAAATGTAGAGCTTAGACAGTTAGAAAGGTATAAATAGTTGTAGTATGGCCCAAATGGTAAATAAGAAGGCAGTCTGTTTAATACTAGTTATACTAGTAAATTTTAATGAAGACTTTACCTTTACTTTTATTAGGAGTGATGATTTATAATGCGTGGACAAAGCAGGGTCGCTAGCAGAACTGAAGAAGCAGCAGGAGTTGGGGCTGTTAAACTGGAAAGAAAACTAAGTACCACTTAGTACAACTAAGAAAACATTGATCCAGAAACACTGTGGAGTGATAACTTCTTGTGAGAGTGGAACTGCTTTTAGTGTATAACTGTTTTACTGATACGTGTTACATGTTAAAAAAAAAAAAAATATATCAAATTGACAGAAAGAAGTGATTTCTGAAGAAATTGACACTGATACACATTCAGCTGAAATAGTTCCTTTAGGCTGAGAAACAAAATAGAAGAAGAAAAATAATGATCAACTTGAAACAGACCCCTCCAGCAGTAAGGTTATTAGAATGCTTTTTCAGGAAACTGCAAATCCGGTGTAAGGATAACACTGTTTTGTATTCTTAACCTGTACTATAACATGGCAATTTATCGTCTCTCCAGTCCTTGGCCATTTCTCTGAACAGTTGCAATGTTGTAGATGGTCTTTGAAATTAAAGACTATGCTGAAGAGTATAGGAACAATGCAAAATGCAGTGACTAAAGTTTTCTTGTGTAGGTGACTAAGGGGTGTGATCAAATGTTGTCTTTGGCACGCATAAAATATAATTCAGAGTCTTCATTCAGATGGAATTGCAAGTTCAAAGGGAAATTTCCTGAAGAAATAAGGGATTATGATAAAGGTTTTTTTTTTTTAAGAAAAAAAAAAAACAAAACAAAAAAACAAAACAAAAAAAAAACCCAAAAACAAAAACAAAACAAAACAACCACCCCAAAACAAAACAAAAGCAAAAAAAAAAAAAACCAAAAAACCAAATTCCTTTAAATTCATGTCTAAAACATATTTAGAAGTTTCTGAGCAGAAATTATTAAATGAAATATATTGGTTAGTATTGGTTAGCAACATAGCTATATGCTTTTTTTTGTTCTGATGCTGTTTCTTAAATCTTAGTAAATAGAATATACAGTACCAACCAGCATAATTTACTAGTTCACACTACTATCCTGAAGGCCTTGCAACAAAAAGGGGGCTGCTTGTACAACTTCTCTCTTTGTATTTAAAATAGAAAAGGGTGACAGTGAATGAGAGAAAAAATACATACTTTCTTCATAGTATTGCTTCTTTTGATGCATTTAAGTATATCAAAAGCTCTGGCAGATATTTCTTCATGGATTGGCAGTACAAAATTCTACTGAATTCAATGAAGCTTTAAACTAAGTTTTCATCATATGTCTTTTGGTATTTCACCTTTTCAAGTGTTTTCCAACTGAGTAGGCAGTAAAATATATATGCTGAAAGCTCCGCATAGAATAGAATGTGCTCCCACCTACTGCTTTTTTGTTGCTGATTCAGGCTATCCAAATTTTGAAGTGCTGAGTTACTCCTCCAATGAGGTGGAACCAAAGAAGCAAATGGCAAATCAGTTGCTGACCATTTAAGAAAAAAAAAATACAGCACATACAGAAAAAAAGCTAGTATTACAGCAGTTATACATAAATGTCATTGCTGTTGCTGTAAAATAATTTCAAGAGCATATTAAACTTTATGTACAGATCTGCTTCAACTTTTGTTCCACTTCAGTTTTAGAATTGATTTGAAGATGTATGTATTTTCAAATTTACAGTATTCTGTTTGCTGAAGTCTGCCTTTAAGCACCTAATGATAATCAAGAGGAAGCTACAAGTAACTGCTTAAATTTTAAAATTTGATTTAGAAAATGTAAACAGTAAAATAAGGAGACATTATCTTTGATTCAAAAGCACTGTAACATAATGTTTGAAGGCATAAAGCAGGTGTTTTCAAACTCTTATAGTACACAGTCACATATGCAGCTTCCCATAAACACCTGGTTTCTCATTCACGTTTGCATAATCTCTCCATAGCACCTATTGCAACTTCTTACCCAAATAATACCACTAAAGCTGGTTTGCTGGAAAGGCACAATGGATTAACCATGTTCTAGTTGTGGTTCTTCCTTATGTGACTATCTAGAAACCAGGTATATTCAACCAGATATATTAAAATCAGATTCATTTGAGCGGTGTAAATGTTTTTAGTTTCAAAATGTTAGGTATTTTGTTTTAAAGTAAGATTTTAGCTTTGTTGGTGAGTGAATGAGAGGCTGTGATTCGAGACGTGGTGGGATTCTTGTTTATCTGTGCATAAGCACTGCAAGGAAAAGTTCTACGACTTTCCTCATTGAGAAGCCCACTGGTGTCACCTGCCCCCTCGGGGGCTTTGCGCTCCGTGTCCGTGTGGGTGCAGAGCGGGTAACGCGTGACTTTGTCCAGCTCTCACCAGGCAGGAAAACTGACTAAACATTTTAAACAGAGCAGATTACTTCCACCTGAGCCAGGTGAAGAAACAGCATTTTTGACTCAGAATGTCATTTCTATCCTGAAGTAGATGTGGAATAAGATCTCTATTCATTTCTCCCTGTTATGAACTAGGACAAGAGTTTCCAAATTTTTTTTTTTTTTTTTGTCTGATACCATTCTGCAGTAGAATAATGTATCTGCATGAAGGAAGGTCTGGGGAGGAAAAAAAAAGGGGGGGGAAGTGTGTGAATTGTGGGAGACTCTGGAAACAGAAGGGGTTTTGCAACTAGAAGTTGGCTGGGGTAGGGATGAGGTCAGGTGCCATGGAGGAAGGCGGTGGCAAGGCAGCAGAGAGGGAAGGAGCCAATTCTGATCTGAAATGCTGCTTTGTCCTGAGTATCCACTGAAAGACCAGAAGACAGTCATGATGGTAGGAGGGTGAGAGAAAACAGACTTGTCTCAGGGACTTCTGGCAGCCACAGACTTCTGACCTTTTTCCTTCATTGTTGGTTGGCCAGAGTCATCTGGCTACTACTTTATAAACCTTTCCCTGACGGCTCTTTCTCTAGTGTAAGCAGCAGCTCCATCTACCTCAAAAGCTTGTATTTCTATTTTATCTGAAGGTGGAAGGAAGGTTTTTGTGAAGCCCTCAGACAGTTTCAGAACCTCTTTAATTGGATAGACTTTGAAAAAGCACTCTTTTTTAGTAATCAATTTTTGAAATTCTTTTTCGTGAAAGACACACTTTCTCACTTTCATCTTGCCACCTGTAAGAAAGTGTATTTTTCTTTCTCCTGCTCATCTTTCCCCTGCCTTCACCTTCTGGGAAATAGGGATGGGAAAGAACAGGAAAAAAAGGGAAAGAAGGAAAAGGACTGCATTTTTTTCCCACTTTTTCCTCATTTAATTGTGATTTTAAATGGAATATTGAAATGGAAAAAAATATTTTTTCCATGAGAATTAGTTACATCTGAATCAGTTGTTCTTTAGAAAAACACAGTTCTTTAAAAAGCTTTTAGGTTCACCATTCGGTAGTTAAAAGTTTCCATATGTGAAGGCATTTGATAAAGCTATGGAACAGATTCAGAGTTCTTACAAGCTTTAATTTTTCCTGCAGATTAAAAAGGCAGAGCAAGTTTCAAAAATTAACAAAGAGCAAACGCTGCTGAAACAGCACCGGCAAGTGTGGTGGCAAGAGCATAAAAGACTGAATGAGAACAGGTAAGAGCTGAGGAATGTTAATTAGCTATTATTAAAGAAAGACTTCAGTAGACGGAGATTCTGTTGTGGCATATTTGATTCAGGGGACATTAAGAGGAAAAGATTAAAATACCTGAACTGAAGATAATTTTTTGTGCTGGGCATGAGAGTTTGTGATCTATATTGAAAGCCATGAAGAGAATACATAAAGGGAGGGGAGGACAGAGTGGATGTTGTCCTGCATGTACCTCTCTACTGTGCTCTCAGAGCTGTTTAGTTGACCTATCAACATCTAAAGAACATGTATTTGTAGGAGTAGCAGAAGTTTTCAGATACTTAATTCCTTCAGAGTCTGTCTCTAGATGTGCATATTGAGTTCACACTTAGAACAGGGAATATTAATATTGTTCTTGTCTATCAGCTTGTGTACTGTATATACAGCAGATCAATGAAAGCATTTTTTGCTCAGAGGAGGGTGGCTTCCATACCACCTTCATGTCCAAGTCCTGCACTTCATACCTTCTCAGTCAAAGAATCCCCCTTTCTACTTAATTATTAGAGTACTTGAGGCTTATCATTCTTAAAAACTGAATAAGAAATTAAAACTTCTGTAAAACTAATATTCATACCTTTCAGACAAAAAGTGGAAGCAGAAATAAAGACTTTTCTTGATGAAGCAAGCCATAAGCACAACTTTTTTTTACATATGAGGGACTTGGGTAAGAAATTTTTATTGATTTCTTGATTATTTATTATAGTCAGAATTATCTTGTTTATTTGTTTGCATTTTTAAATCCCTGTCTTGACACGTTTAGATTTAGAAAGCACAGAGCTGTGTAATATTTTGTGTGCTTGAGAAAGATTTATGTTTCTTTTGGATGTAGAGCATAAATTATCAAATGAGCGGGATACATACCAAACAAATACTGTAGTTCCAATCTGGCAACTGAAAGAGAATTTGAAATTCAGACTGTCTGAAATGCAGTGTTGCCTCTCAGAAGAATCTCGTCTGAAATCTAAGATCAGTCCAGTTGAGATGTTACACCAGGTTAGTATTATAACTTTATTTTTACCACTTATTATCACTGTATTTTTAGCATTTTCATTTATTTTTATGTAATACTTTGAGAATATAGCTCACACTGAGTATCCAGTGACCTCTGTGCTTGATGTAATGTAAATCTGCTTCACTAAAATCTGTAAAAGCATAGCAGTGTAGAACTGGAAATCAGGCTCTCTGTTTCTAAATAAGATCTTTCATATTATAACAAGATAAAGAAGTAACATATTTCATGAAATAGATCCAATTTGTGAAGAAGCAACAGAAGGCAATTTTGGAATTCCTCATCATTGAAGGTCTGGCTTCGGAAAGAGAGCTTGAAGAGTATAAAACAAAAGTAAGCTTTTCCCTGTAAGTTTAATGAGCAGTTTTTTGAGAGAGAAAATGTAATGCAGAGTAATCCACTGAGTAGCCTTTTTTCATTCCAGGCATTAGCACATTCTTTAGAAGAGAAAAATGGACTTTTCCTTAAAGTTCCTTCAGCACTACTTTCTTTGGAATGCCCCTACCCTGATTTGAAGACCTTAATTATCAATGAATACCGAAAGCTTGCAAGTGGGTATTGGTCTAAGCTTCAGGAGATTGACGAACAGTTAAATGTTTTATATAGGTAATGACATCTGTTTCTGGATTTCTTTTGCTGAGTATAATACAAATAACTGTAATGTATCTTGTAATCTATAGATCCTGCAGTTGCCTTTACCATTAGAGTTGATTGTATTTTATGCAGAGCAGAGAATAGTTGACGCCATGCCCAGCTCTCCGGGGTTAAATGGTTGGTAACTGTTTGGTTTGCACAGTTGAGAGAATTGAGGTACTACTTTCAAAAGCTCTCATCTGAAATAATAAGTGAAATGTTTTGTGGATTAAAGAACCAACAGTCTGGTGTGCATCAAATGTCCTCTTCACGTGCTTTTGCATGAATAGAAATGATTCTTTCTGTATGGTAATTACTCTATCAAGTTTATGCCAGAGAAGTGCAGCCTTTCTGAGAGAGAGAGATCTAGAATGTATTTATCTATAAAGCAGGTAAATAGGTCCAATCTTTTCACAAATTTTAGATCACTGCAGTAAGTCTCATCACAAATGTAAAAAATGTATGTAACTGATTCAGAATAACTGGAGAGATTTTTCTGTAAACAAAAGAGTTTATATGAAGAACATAAATATTCATTATGATCTAGAAATGTGATAAACCTATATATTAGTAGTATAAATCTTAGCTTTTCTGATGAAGCTAACTTGAGTCCAGAAGATACTGAGAGAGAGATAGTGGACCAGCCTTGACTTTTTTGCTATCTACTGATATTCTTCTGGCTTAGAGTCGGCATCAGGTTTTAAGAAGACTGAGAATAGGAAGGTCGGTGGGATTGTTTGAAGCCTGGGCAGAAGAAATGGGTGAGGGCAGGGAAGTCCCCAGATTTCTCTGGTAAAACAATCACATGCTGCTTCTGAATATTCCTCTTTTTCTATATACACCTACAGTGCAGCACTTAAATCTTCTGCCACCGCTGTTTAGGGGTGCTGCAACAGGTTTAGGATGTTGGGTCCCATAGAAAGTGATATTATAATCTACTTATCTTTTGTATAAATTGTACCTATATTCTGTCAGTTCTTGTTCTGTTACCTGAAACCTGTATATTATTACTCTAATGTCCTAGCTATTTTAACATGATACTTACTAACATTGTTCCAATCTTTCCCATATCTATAGCATTTATTAAGCAGCAAGTGACAAATATACAGCAGTTCCTTCGCTGCAGTCTCTGATATTTTGTTACAGTTTCTCTTATGGAATAATTTTTAACAACCTTTACGAGAAAATCTGTGACAAATACTAAATCCTTAAATATGTATAAAGTCTTTCCAGTGACTTAAATTAAAATCGTGTTAAAGTTTATTATCAAGACAATTTTGATGAAAATTAATGAATTTAAATCCCTTGATCAGCATATGTGCTACTGAATGATAGACAAACATCAATGTAGACAACAAAATCTATGACAGTGATTGAAAAATCTACCATGGTATTTTAGTTGATCATATGCCAGGTTTGAATTTAGGTCTTGAGCTAGCTAATTTTCACTGATAATTAAGTAACATCAAGACTTAAAGATAAAACAACTTATTGGTAAGCACATATGCAGTGGTACTTTGAAGGAATTAAGTTATTATATCTAGATGGGAAAAAAAGAAACAGACGTAGCTGGAAGAAATGCTGGTGGTAGTGGCAGTGGCAGCAATCTGCTGGTGGGATGTAAGGGTAGGTTGCATAGGACAATTTACCCAATTTGGATCAGTGTCTGCCAGTATTGTTAGCTGGGAATGTAGGAAATCAGAAATGAACCATCAGCAATTATCTTAGGCATTTTATTTAAAACTAGATCTTGGTCTTTTTGTTTGCCTTCTGGTCTCCAAATCTTTAATGTATTGCTCATTTGCATTTCTATGATTTTATCCACAACAATGTTAAAAATGTGTTTTCAATAAAAAAAAAAAAAGCAAGACTTTGTTCATGTAGAATTGCTTACTTCCAAGATCTGGCTTTTATAAAAGACACAGTGCTTTATCGCTTCTTACATTTATATTGGCTAATTTGCACGAAAATGCTTTATGAGTTTGCAAAGATACAGCCTTATGATTTAAGTATTCTATAATTCATCAAGCAAACTTTGATGCAGTTAACACAGATAATACTGTCTAAAATTGAGTGACAGATTTTTGACCTTGGTATGTATCCACTGTACTCTGCTGATTAATACAGTCTTAATGAAGCCTTTGCAATTATTGTTACTGCTCTATACCCAAAGATACCGAACATTCTCTGCTATAGATTTTTTCTCATTTTTGTGATTTGAGAGGTTGCTCAGCAGAACAATATGATTGTATGACAATTTAGTCACTTCATCTGAGGATTACTTCTCTGTTGTTCTTCCTCTCTCATCATACGCTTGAATGTACAGTAAAGAATCCTTAAGTTCATATAGTCTTCTGGCATTACACATCTCATTGTTCAACTGTCCAGGCTGTCTGGAACAGAAAATTTAGAAAATGTGCATAAAATTTCCAAAGAAGAAAAATCAGAATAAGATAATATTCTGGTCTGCTGTGTTCTTTGTGTGCTTTTCAGTCTTACTAGAATGCATATTACAGTGTTTATTGCTTTTAGAAACTGAAGAAGGATTTGGATTTTTTCAGTCATAGTACAGAATTATAATATTTTATAAACTAAATTCACTTCTTTTACTGATGCTAATACACAAATTTTTGAGTTTGAGAAATACTCACATCCTGAGTTATCTCACAAATTGTAGACTTGGAACTGACGTGTTTATTATAGTTGAGGATTCTCTAAGCACTATTATATTTTTGCCACTGTTTCCAAGGATGTCTGAATTATTTAAATAACTGAAGGATGAATGGAGTATTGCATATTCAGCACTGTATCCTCCACAGCATCCTTTCAAATGAATTGGATATTAGGACTAAGTCAAATAAATTTAGATCCTCTTTTCAGGCCTATTACCAGGATGTTTCTGGTACAACAATCGACAATGACATAATTAATAGTCAGCGAGGTTAACATCTCACTTGGTGGTATTGTTACAGTCTGTGTCTGCAGATTCAACAAGACAGCAGTGTGCATCGAGTATACATTGCTATTGCAAAGGATATGTAGGGATTATAGGGTGGAGAGGGTAGCTTCCCTTCTGAGTTTTTTATATTCTTTAGAATGTGTAAAGCCAGGGATTAATGCTCGCTAAATATGTTTCAAAGGAAGCAGCTGCCTCAGGGTTGTTGAATATAAGACTTGCTGTGTTTCAGTTCTGAAACAAAATAAAGATTGTACTGTTTTCTAGTAGAACGATGCATACAAGAAAAGCAAGAACTACGTTTAAAATTTGGGTCATGCATTCAGCCTTGTAAAAGTTTGTCAATATCTTGACACTGAGCAAGCCTGATATTAGCTTAAATATTAATGTCAAATGCGCTGGCACTTTTCAAACTTGTTTTAGATGACATCTCCCTTTCTGGAATTTTGTGAGATGACAATGCATTTAATGGTTATGAATACACTGGGTTGGATCACGGTGCCTTTTTTTTGGCTATTTGTCTAGGAACAGCTGACAAAATCTCAGCACAGCCGACGAATTTTGGCACAGCTGACAAACCCAGGCACTGGCACTCAGTTTGTCCTTACTTACAATAAACTACTTGTAGCTATAGTTGTAGCTGATTGCTTCCCAGAGCATCTTCCACAAACCTTAGTTGCTCCAGCTTGTTCCTGAGTGGCGTAGCGGTAGGTTGTGAGCTGGCCGTTAGAGGGACGTGCAAGCCGGGATGTTGCTCGAGGGGTCGGATGCGGCAGCGGATGCGGCAGCGGGTGCATCTGCCCTGCCCTCGTGCGCTGGAGGTGGAGGGGCTGCATCACCACCCTGCCCTTCGCACGCGGGGCCTGGGGTTTGCCCTGCCCTCAAGCTCGGGGTGTCCTGTTTCCTCCCCAGGATGTATCTTCCTCTGCCTTACTCTTCTTCTAGACAGAAGGCCCGTATCTGTTCCCAAACCTGTATGGTCAGAGATATCTAAGGTAGACTGTTACAAAAGAGAATCTCAGGCCTTAGAACTGCCTCATTACTGTCACTAAAATAACATGTTGAAACAGCACCATACTGAGGTGTATCAGGACTCACAGAAAAGGATTAGTGATTTCTTTCAGAAATTGTAAGTAGTACTTCAAAATCCAACCAGTAAACCAGTGAACTCTCTCTTAGGATGACTGGTACTCCCTCTGAGTAAAGGCTAGTGGGATTTTATGGTGGTTCTTCTAAGAAACAAATAAATAAAACATTGGGGCTGGCAAGACAAGAACGCTAGGTGTCAAGAAAAAAATTTTTTCTTGTACTCAGTTGAGCATCAGTAGGAGCAGTTGCAGTGAAAGAGATTTAAATCGTATCAACGAATAATTAATTTGTTCATTAAAATTATTCTTCAGAAAGCCTGTACCTCAGAATATCAAATTATGACACAGAGATTCTAAAATTAATAAATGAACTGATTTCATAGAAAAGCTCCCTCTAGAGAACAGGGAGGAGTTTAAAACAGTAATTTCTAAGGATCAGTTGCAAGATATTTTTCTTAGAGGCGGTAAGTGTTGCAGAAATAGCTTATCTTTCCAATATCACCTCTGTGTCAAAGCTCAGGGACTCTTGTCTTTGGAGAACTGTGTCTGCTCTTCAAGACCTGCAGCTTGAAGGTTATATTACTGCAACAGTTCCCTCTCTGAAGGATTCCTTAGCCCCATTTCACTTTCTGGGGCACTATTTCTTCTTTAGATTTAGCTTATGAAAAAACCTCAGCTCAGACATCTATATTCATTGTCTGTCATGGGAAATTTAAGCAATCACCTATAAAGAAACACTTTCATTGCAGCTCTGCTTTTGCTAATGTAATTTCTCTTTTTATGTTGTCTCCAACATTTGCTGGGTAGCTGCAAATGAACTTTTTACAGGAGCTAGATCTTTTCTCTCCCCTATTTCAAAGCCACCTCCATTTCTTTTCCTGATGGCTGGATTTGACAGCTAACAGCTGGGTCCTAGAAATAGTTTGCCAGATATATCACACAGTTTATAAGAGAAAGGAAGATAGGTGGAAAATATGAATAATATATGTCTATTTCATGTAAGCTTGTAGAGGGAAAGCTGTTTCCTTCCACAACTTTATTAATTTTAGCCTACTGATGCGTCTCCAAGTTTGGATTATTACTATAGTATTCCTAGTCCTAAACGTGTGTCTGCACGAGTGGCAGGGAGCTTTTCTGCATGAGGTTGTGCTGCTGTACTGCAGTGAATCCCCCCAGGGGCAGGGTTTGAAGCCTGCTGTGAGGGGGATGTCGGAGGGCTGCGAGGGAAGGTGCGACTCAGCAAGCCCTGGGCCTGGCTCGCTGGCCTTCTGTTCGTGAGAAGTTAGGCTGCTGTCGAGGCCTGGGGTCTATTGGCTAGGTTTTGTGAATTATTCTAGAGCTGTCAACAAAAGCAGATTGCGAGCCATTCTTTTGTGTGGAAAAGCAAAGACTAAACTGTCAGTGTATTTTCTTTGCCCTGTGCCGTGATGCTACTACCTGTGGACACTTTTTTTAAAGTTAATTTTTGGTGTGTCGCTTTCATGCTACTCCACCGATAAATAGATAAGCTGCTCAAAAGCACACAGAGAACAGCTAGGAGTTAGTGCTTCCTATTTTCCTGCAAAAAGCCATTTCACGACAGGAATCTCTCTGTATGCAGTACAAAAATTATTACTTCAGAGCTCTCTGTTCTGATGTGTTCATAGCACTAATGGCCATGATAATGTTATTGGAGTTTATTGAAGGAGGTAGGATGTGATTTATCCTTATTTGGCCATCTTTATTGTGATCCTGTCTGCATAAAAGACAAGAGTAACTTTTAATATTTATTCACAGAAAAACAAAAGACAGAAAAAAATAAAGAGTGCAATAAACAAGGCGTTCATTAGTAGGGAATAGTAATTGTCATGTTTCCTCATGTTTGGTTACTGTTAAGTTGCCACCATTCTGATCCTGGAGTAACAACTCTGTGCCAAAAATGTTACAGTAAGCTAAGAGTCTTTTTTGTTTCATGAAAGTCAGAGGATGAAGAATTGAAGTGGGTTAGAAAGACGTGTGATCCCTAGCTGTCTCTAGAAAGATGGGTGAAGGTTAAATCCCTCTTAAGACCATAAGGGTAAAAATAAAGCCCATTAGTCTGCCTGAAGAAAACTGTTAAATAAATGCCTTTAGGTAGGTGAAGATAAGTGGACCTCTGTCCAAATTTCTGCCAACTTTGCGGCAAAGCATGCAACAGCAGAAAGTGCCAGCAGAGAGGAAAAAAGGTGAAATGCGTGTGATCAAGAGCTTGGGTTCCATTGCCTGACAGGACATTACTTCGGAAATGGTTTGTTGAAATGGGATGTTGTGTCTTTCCATTCTTGAGATACGTCTGTAGGTGAAGATTTCAATTTCTTAAAACTAACAGATCTTGGGGATATTTTCTTCTTTCCTCCTTCAGTGTCCCAGAATATTGTACAATGGTGATAGTACACTGTGGGTTTACTGTACAATGCTTTTTAAAGAAAAGTTGTGTCAAACTGGATTGCATAGAATTTTGTTAATACTTGTGTTCACTGTTCTCTCTTTAGAGATAATGCTAGATGTTATCATAAAATCTAGTTTAATATTAATTACATATGAGCATCTCACAAAAAAAAAAATAGTATCTTTTTAAAATACCTGATATTTCTGCTTTTGTAAGGATAAAGTTGCGCTAACATCTTCCCGAATTGGTATTTGCTATTAAATACCAAGACACCACTGCTGGCTCAGGAGGTTGGAGAGCTGCAAACGGTTGGAGGCTGCAGGAATTTGGTTGGGGGTAGTCATATGATTGCCTTCTTTTAATTTTCCCTAGGCTTTTAGTCACTTTTGAAAACAGGCCACTGGGATAGGGAGACCTTTTGGTCTGACTCAGTGTTGCTGCTTGTACACTAACGCTGACAGTAAAAGCCTGATGTTAATCACTGCAAGGCCAGGAGTTCAGGCTGAGGGTAAAATCTAATCTACTAATTCCAAACCTGTGGTACTCTGTTTTAGTTTTCTGTTACTTCTTGCTAGTCCAATCTTCTGAAATACATGAATGCATACTGATTACTACACCTCCTATTTTAAAAAATTGTTAAATTTATGCCTTGCTGATAAGTTTATGGCTGTCAGAAGTTTGTTTTTAAACTAGTTCTGCATTTAGCTAAATACAAGTATTATCACTTCATTTCATTTTGATTGTTTATTTAATAGTCAGTGGTAGAGACTGATCATCATCTTCCTTTTTCACATTGTATTTTCCACGTGGTGTGACTATTCATTAATGCAGCGTATTTGAGAAAACCAGTATCATTCCCCAATAAAAAGCCAGGCTACAAAAAGAAAGAATCACTTGAATGATGACACAATACATGGTCACAGTAGAAAAGCAATAGAGGTTTGTTTTGTTTCATTAGAGAAAATCTAAATTTCTCAGTCCTGATCCAACATCCAGTTTACAGGTTTCAGGATTGTGAGCCCACTGAAAGGTTATGTCTTTAAAAATAAACTAGAACCGAACTCCTCCTTTTCAAATATTAAGTTATATTGGGGCTGAATATTTTGCATTTCTATAGGAACATGGAATGGAAGGAAGAAGATCAGTGGGTTTTTCAGACTGTTATCAATCAGTATCCAAGTGATCTTCAGAGGAGGAGGACTTTGTACCTTGATGTGCTGCAGAGGTACCTTCCCCACAAATCTAGGCATGATCTGGTCAGTGCTATTTTAAATATTAGATCAATTATATAAATGCTTACATACATCATGCAGCAAACATTTGTATTAAACAATGTTTATAATTTTTCTTTTTTAATTTTAAAGTTTCTTAATTATAAACTTTATTCTGCACAGAGAAGAAGGGATGTCCCTGTCTTCAAAATGCATGAGCTTGAAAACCTATCACTTATTTTGAAGAAGTACTGTGGAGATTTTATAGTTCCACATACTCTTACAGCCAAATTCACAAAAACAGTTTGCTAGCATTACTTTTGCTGTACAGTTCTATAGTTATGTCATACTATTCTGCTTCTCTTGGTGTTTTTGTTTTTTATGAGGATGTATAGCATTGCCACACTGTCTAGGAATAGTTATTTTCATTGGTCTGTGGCACATATATAGCAGGAAGAGTGGAAAGTTATCTCCTGCTCTTAGGGAGAGGCTATTTTTATATGCGTAATGCCTTTCAAATTGATTGCCGATTCCTTTTACGCTCCACAGTGAATAAGTATGTAGCAGCTAATAGAGAAACTCATTTCAAGGCCAGAACACTTCACATTGTCATAAGTAAAGTAGGAGTCTTTTTTTATCTCTACATGTATTTTTAGACCATCTGCTTGCTTGTGTTTGAGGATTGCCTAGTGCAAAGGAGTGACAGTGAAGTGATACTGATAATTAGCATCGTTTCACCAAAAACACAGTTCTAGTGGGTTTCAGAACTTTTGCCTGTGAGAACTGGGCTAAGTAATTGCGTGCTTTGTACAATGCAGGTATATTTAAAGCATAGACATTATTAATGGGTCTCCCTAATTCTTTGAAGGTTCATTCTAAATTTAAAAATTCTAAACTTAAAAAACATAATTCTGCATTGAATTGGCATCTCTTAGTCTATATATTAACGTGACAAAACCAGAAATGTTAAAACAGTACTAAGAATCTATTCTTAAAGTGTTTGTGCTACATTAGAATACTAAACTTAGAGCTTCTGTGCCCTCTTCCCTCTGAAGAATGGATCTGTGGACAAGCACTCAGTGTGTGACCCAGGAGCAGCTCATCAAGGAAGCCTATTCTCAGAAGTGCAAATTCTCCATCCCATTTCTTGCGTATGAGTGGCATAGCTTTAGGTGCTTGCTGACAAGGCTCACCTGAGTTTGTGGCAGCAGCAATGGCAATGTGAACTTCTGATGGGGTGGCCTAGGTGCATTTGACCAAAGAGGAGCTCCGGAGCTACTGGTACCACTTCACCTTCACCCAGCTGCAAGGTGATGGGAATACCTGCGAGCTAGGCACCAGACGAGTCAACGTCCCCCATCCCCTGCCAAAAGCCTGGAAATTAGCATCAGGAATGGTCCCCGTGATGCTTGTGAGCAGACAGCCACCTCTAGAATCTCCTTTATCTCTGTAACCTGTATTTTGGGGGATTTAAGACAGGTCCGAGACTCTAATGCCTCAGTCTATGCAGCCTTACCTGTTACTACTTCTTTCAAAGTCTTGACGCTTGAATGTCCTCGGGAACCTCACTGAATAAGGCCAAAGAAGGTGTATTTAAGATTAAACAGTCATAATTTTTGTTAGGTGGTGGCAATGTGCTACTTGGCAAGCTAAAAGTCTATTTCCATATTTCCTGTTAAAAAAGAAAAGGCAAAGCTAGTTCTTATCTGTAGTGCATTTGTACAATTGCTTTAATTGGTGTTATGTTTCTGTCTAGATCATAATTTGCTATGAAGAGCCTCATCTTGCTCAAGGTGCTCAATATCTCTGAAGAGTAATTGAAAGAACCTACTTGCATTTTATGTACTTTGGGGCAGGAAGGAACCATTGCATTTAATTTTTTCATATTGCAAAATTGTGGTTCAGAAAAGAACAGTGGGATATCAGGATATTGAAGTGCCATGTGGTACAGGGAAAGGCTGAAGTGGTATCACCACCTACCAGCGCTGGGAGACTGCAGCATACTTGGCACCTGACGAATATTTTGGGCCCTAAATTGTGGGTTCCATAGGAATATTGGTGAAAAAAAAAAATCAATTATATTCAAGGTTGCAAAGCCATCTAGAATTATTTTATTAATGCATAGTTTTCCAAACCTTTCTGAAATGCTTTACTTTTTTAGGTTGTTCATGAGAAAGCTTGGGATCGTTGCCATTTCATTAAGAATCAGCGCAGAGTCTTGATGTTAAACTGGGCCCAAGCTAGGAAAGCCTTTTTGATTAAGGCAGTGATGACTGTTGCTGAGGCCTCTGCTGCTCATGAGACAGAAGTAGTGTTGGCTAATACCAGACAAAAGCAACAGGAGATTTGTGCTGATCTGAAAGCAAAGGTAGGTTCAGTTACAAATCTACACATGCTAATCTGTTTTTTACTGACAAATTCAAAACCAAGTTACAGTGTTTAAGTGAAGAAAAACTAACTGAAGATAAATGTCATAATCCTGTTTCTACTGGCCTGATTGACTTGATTTGGGCAGTTGGGGGGGAAAAAAGCAAACTGTGATCTGTTGGCAGAGATCAGTATGTTTATGAATCTTGACTTGCAAATGGTTTTGAAGATGCTCTTTTTCATTACCAATAAGAATTATTGTTAGTGTTTCAACTAGCTCTTGAACTTAGTTTGTCTTTTCTTTGATTAAGAATTTGATTACCTAGCATACTTTAGGCCTTACTATGAGTTTCATATGGTGGGTATAATCTCTGTAGAAACTGTGATCACATTTATTTTGGTGCATTTGGAGCACCTTTGAAGAGTTTGAACTGTATTTCAGTACTGGAAGAACAAGATTTGTTCTGCAGTTTACAATATGAGAGACTGTAAGCAAGCTACAGGAGTAAAGGTCTGGCATCCTATTCCTTGGGTAAACATTGGCAAATCACAAAATATTTGTGTGGTTTTTCTCTGTTTCTTCCTCAACAAAGCGGGATTGATATCTATACTGCCTGAGGCTTAGTTCATAATTGCTTTTAACACCAGGATCTTCAGAAGTGGAAGCAAAATGTTCTATTCATCATCACTACCACCAGTTTTTTAGATTATGCTCATCTGTTTTCAGAGAATCCCAGACCGGTTTGGGTGGGGAGGGACCTCGAAGCCCCCCCAGTGCCCCCCCCCGCCCCGGGCAGGGCCCCCTTCCCCCAGCCCAGGGTGCTCCCAGCCCCGTCCAACCTGGCCTTGAACCCTTCCAGGGAGGGGGCACCCACAGCTGCTCTGGGCACCCTGAGCCAGCGCCTCCCCCCCCGCACAGGGAAGGATTTCTGCCTCAGAGCTCACCTAAATCTGCCCTTTTTCGGTGCAAAACCATCCCCCCTCGTCCCATCCCCACCCCCTGACCCAGAGTCCCCCCCCACCTCTCCTGCCCCCCCTTTAAGCCCTGGGAGGCCGCTCTCAGGGTCCCCCCGGACCCTTCTCTTCCCCAGGCTGAACCCCCCAACTCTCTCAGCCCGGCCCCCCAGGGGAGCTGCTCCAGCCCCCCCAGCATCTCCGTGGCCTCCTCTGGCCCCGCTCGAGCAGGTCCTGGCTTCCCCTCTCTTTATCTTTAAAAATGGTTTCTAAGACCTCAAAAAATGGGTCCCATAACTTGTTTGCCCTTCTTATGGAGGTTTCACAATATTCTGAAAGGTGATTTACTGTGTTAAGAGGTGAAAAAAGGTAAAAATACCTGGGGGATTTTTGGTAAGAGAATAGAATAAAATGGGAGGAGCCTGGACACAAGAAGAAAGTGTTATGATCTTGATGCCTAATGTATTTGTAAGGGGAATCACATTTCTGGGCATGAAAGACATGTTAAGATCTATTTAAACTGCTCTCTGATTTTCTGCTTGCACAGAAATTAACATCTGAAAGCATACGTTGTATATTATTCTCACTTTATCAACATTATCTCTGTTGAACCCTTACTTTTCAACAAAATATTGAACACTGGCTTTTGTTTTTCTACAAGTAGAAAAAAACAGAAAAAACTGTACTGTCATTAAGATTTTTAATGTTGATGCTAGTTTTTCACTACAGTTATAATACAAAAAACCTTCTGTCTCCTGTTCCCGGAGCTGCCTGTCATAGGCAGGTTTGAATCTAAAAGCGCTGTAGGGTTAGGAACTGTCTGGGCTTCCCCCAGTGGGGAGTACCCCGCTTTAACTCCTGTGGCAGGCTCCCCAGGAGCTGAGTGGCGTAAGGAGCCATTCTCCATGGCTGGAGAGGGCTGTGTTTTGTTTGGGGGGGTTTTGTTTGGGGTTTTTTTTTGTTGGTTTCTTTTTTTTGGTTGGTTGTTTTTTTTTTTTTTTACTTTTGTCTTCCTGTCTGGAATTGCTATGTATCTCTTAGGGACACAGTTAGAGGTGGAAAGACCATTTATTCCAGAACTGTGAATTTATCACTCAGTCTTTTTTTTTTTTTTAATTCTTTACTTTTCATGGGGAAGAAGAAAAAAAAAAAAAAAACAACAAATAAGTCTTAAAGTACTTATGTTGTCTCCATGTAGCTTAAGATTCTCACTAGTGCATTGAACATTGTCTGAAAGTTCATTGGATTCTGACCTCCTGTTTCCAGTAACCTGGAGCTGTTTGAAACTTAAACCTATTAGTCCTACACTTTTAAAGGGTTGCTTTCAAAGGTGGCTTTGTTAAATTGTTGAACGTTTGAACAAAACCAATTCACCTGTTTCCCAGGAAAGAGAAATGAAAAAGGAACATCTTTTTTCATTAAAGAAGGATATCATTGTGACCTTGTTTTGATCAGCCCTACAGCCGAAAGGGCTAGGGGACGGAAGTTGAAATTGGGCAAGGAGTTAGCTGTTTTTAAAAGAAATTATTCTGAATGTATCCATATTTTTTGTTTGGATTTAATGGGTATATGCATTTGAAAGCTCATACTTTGCCCAGTTACAGTTCCTTTTATGGACTTGTCTTTCCACACTTATGAAGTGTGCAACTGCAGAATGTCACGCTGTAGGAAGCGACTGTTAGCAGCTATCAGGTAAAAAGCAACTTTCAGTCTAGTGAGTTAATTTACACTGATAAAAACCCATCCTGGCAAGGATCCATTAGATGTGGTAAAAAATGAATATGTCTCTAAGGGAATTTGTGTAGAGCTGGAAATGAGGGATTAGGGCTGTTCTCCCACTTTTGCTTTTTGTCCATTAATTGACAATTTTTTTTGCATTTCAGGAAGTTTAGCACAAGCAGGTTTCAGAGGAAGTTATAGCATTTATATGCCTATTTACATCAGGTGTAAAGTGAAATTATGATACACACACTGTAAGATATGAAAGCAGTTCTAGAAATGCAGAGCATCATTAGAACCATTTTGCAGACAGAATATGCAGAAATACATTAATATAAAAATGAATTGTTTAAGCAGCTGTTAATAATAGAGTGGGAGAAGACTGGACTCTAAATGACACCTTTCATTTGACTTCCAGTCAGTAATCCATTTAGCCTGGTTTACTTGGTTTAAAAGGGGGTATCTGTCTGTAAATTTCTATGCTTCTTTGAGTTTGTGGGTTTTTCAAGAGTTTTTCTTTGTGTGTGAAAATGAGTTTGTTCCTAATTATGATACAGATTGAGCAATGCAAAAGAGAAAGAAAACACTAGTAAGTGACAGGTTATGCATTTTTTTTATTACTGCAGTAGCCACATGATATCACCTAACTCTTACATAGTTCTTTTCATCTGTCAACAGCAACACAAAGGCATAGCAAACAGACTAAAGAATACATTACTTAAAAGATATTTTAAATGTACTAGAAGCAACTATGTCATCAGTGAGACTCTAGGCCTGTGACTGACAAAAGGTGTTAACAATTAAGAAGTAAAGCAGCAGAGAAGTTATATTAATGTTTATGACAGTTGTTACTTGGGGAAAGGACTTTCACATTCTTATTCCATGTTCCATGTCACAGAAGATCAATGTGTGTCCTTAGCAGAAGTCAGGGTCTCTAAGGAGGAATTTTGAAACAACTCAAAAAGCTCAGGTGAAATAATTCGCGAGGGCCATATGGTAGTCATCGGAATGAAATAGAGTGTGGAATGGATAGTACTAGTGAGGATATACTGTGTATTCTCAAAGAGGAAGCGTTTCTGGTACATATCTTTAACCCTCCCTGTTTGCTATGGGAAGACAAAAAAACCCCAAACCATGGAGGGCTTACACTTCCAATGAGCGATTAAGAATCATCCGTATTTGGTATGCTTTATACTGTGTGGATTTAACGACTTTCAGGGGTCTGTAGCAGACGCTGTGTAAAAAAATTCTCTTTCTGTGTAAAATTCCTCTTTCTAAACAACATAGAGAAGGAAATTCTTCTATTGTCACACGGTAGTTCAGTAATGAAGTGAGCGCACAATCATTTAAGAGGGTTAGTAGAGTGCTGCTTCACAGCTGGTGTTTGAAGGATTGAAGTACTTGCTGCAACATGTTTAGAAATTCAGTCAAGGTATCTACATACATTTAAAACATATTTTTGCTATTTAAGTTATCTTAAAATATTTATAATCCAGTACTTTCCACCTTCATATAAAACAATTCTAAAAGGACACTCAAGGAAAGACCTACAACAGTAGACTAAAGGACAGTTGAATCTCCTGTGTGTGATGCATAGGGCGGGCTTTTTCTTCCTTAGCATAAAGCTATGTGCCTGCCTGACTTTAAATCTTTTCTCTTTCTCTTTTAGTGTTTCAGGATTAATCCTCACTCTAATGTTAAAATCTCTTGCAACACATTGTGATTTTTTGGATAGAAATTCTTGTGTTCCTTATCCTGGCAGAAACTAACGTAAATTAATTTCAAAAGGAAGAGTTAGGTGGAATTAACTGGGATATTGAAAATCATACACAGCATGCTGCAGGTTGCCTTCCTTCTCCCGTCCTGTATAATGAGAAGAAAGGATGCGTCAGTAAACTCAGGGAACAAAGTTCTATCTCCCTACTCGGCACATAGTCAAGTCACTGATTTGAATTGTTTGACTGCCATAGGAAATCAACATTGAAATACTAATCAAATCTAGTACTTTGACTATAATCTCATCGTTTTGCAGGAAATTAAAAAAAAAAAAATTAACTAGTGGGACATTTAAAAGAGTTTTATTTTTCAGAAGCATTATCTATTCACCACTGAGGTCACCCATTTGTTTGTTGGATATGAGAAATACAAGGAGGTTTTAATAACCTCAGTTTTCAATGCAGATACTCATAGAGGAAGTATGTGGTGTACTTAAGAGTTGTAGGATGCTATAATATTGGTCCAAAGTGGATGTGAGCAAATATCTAAGATTTTAAAATTCACCAAAGATGAACCAACTCAGACTCAGTAGTGTCTTTTTAATCCAGAGCT